ACTTGTTAAGTTAAGCATTTCGATATGAGAAAAAAAAACTTTCCAAAAATCAAAATGCTGGAATTTAATTTATATTTTTGTAATTCTGTAACTTTTTTCTTCTCAATATGACAACTGTTTTTTTTTTATATTAACATAACTTTTCACCTGATCAAAATATTTATACAGATAAAATATGCAAAATGATCATATAGTTGTGAAAATGAGATTTTAGTCATAAGATTCTCAAGAAGCAAAGACTTGAACTACATATATCTCATGAAACATCAAGTATAGTTTATTCATATGTGCTAAAAGTGTTAGACTATGGATATTTCTAATGCAAAACACAAATTACTGCTCCACAAGTGTTTATACGATAAGTTTATTTTTAATTACAATAAACAAGAATTTTCTATTTAATTGTGACAGCTACACCCATTTTCAAGAAAACAAAACAAAATATAAAGAAATAATTTCATGAATAGAATGAGATTTTATGTAAAGTCCTGCCTTCATCAGTTTAGTGAGATAAAAAGTCAAACACTACACTATCTGTTGTGTATGTTCTGAGTAAGGTTGAGAAAGTAGCATGCAGTTCTGACAACAACAAAAAAGGTATCTGGAGACCTACTTCTGATGATGGCTAATTTATTGTAGAAAACATTCTTGATTAAATTTACAATCAGTTTTCACCTTATTTTTGAGCTTCCCAATACTAAGTTCCTGAGCATTTTTAAAATGATGTTAATAACTAACTGGTTTTCTGTATCCTAAAAATAGAAGCAAGAAGCAAACCTGACAAAAAAAACTTTCTTAATATCACAGTTATCTCCTAATCAAACCACTTCCTGTACCATCTCTACTTTAAACAGATTACTAAAATAGTGAAACAATTTTTCTTGTGCTTCATGCATCTCCAAAATCAGATGTTTAATTGACATACAAATCATTTATATAATCTGCCTTGAACCTTAATAAGAAGTAGATTTATCAATCAGATCTTCCAGTTGATCTAATGGCTGGTAATATTATCATAATGTGTTACAGATAAGTTGTAGGTCCTTAGAACATTTAAAAGAAAACTTTTAAATTAAATCATTTCTATGAAGTCAAAATGTGACACATCAACTGTCTATACAAAATTAATGAAAAAACTTTAACAATGGAAAAATGCATATCCTGGCAAGTTTAGTCTCAGAAATATTAAACCAGATCATTATTACGAAAAACAACTAAGATCTGTACCTAAAAACAAAAGAGACAGACTAACTTGTAACTCTAAACATATTCCAAACAAACCACAGAGTAAAAAATAAAGTAAAATATTTCAGATCTAGAGTTACTTCCTCATCAGCCAAATAATACAGTGTTACTGTACTTAACCAGTGGGTAAACAAAGAATCCTAAAATTTAATACAAAAACTCTACATATTATATTCTTTTTTACTTGTGGGAAAACTAGCAACCAGAATGATTTAAAGAACTATAATTACAGTTTGAAGTCAAAACTAAAAAAAAAATAAAGGATAAGTTATCTAAAGGAAGCATAAAACTAGCTCTGAAAAACCAACTTCACAGTGTTTATTATCAACAAAAGCAGACCTGTAGTCTTATTCTCTCTCTCTCTTGGGAGCATTTAGTTTATCCAATCACAATACCCTAAAACATTATCAGCTTTCTCTCATTCTGTATCTATATCTGTATTTATAGATTAAATGTATAGTCACCATATCTGACAGTTATTAAAGAAACTAGAATAATGTGATCCTGTTCTTTATTCCTAAAATTAGTTACCCCATAATCGAATTAAACATTAGCTACACACTTCACAGATGATGACAACATACACATACAAACAAATTTTTCAGTGTAGAAAAAGTATACATGTACACACAAACACAAATAAACCAGAACCTTAATATGTGTACCTGTAATTTTTAATATCAGCAGTTATTGAATCCCTAGTTTAGAATAACAAAAATCTCTGATATTAGTTTGATAACACATAAAACATGTTTAAAAACATTTCAGATATCTTATGAGAAAAATCCAAACACCAAATAACCCAGAGCCTTTATGTATATATCAAAAAGTTTTAAATATTATAGATGATAAATTTCAAGTTTGAGTTAATACATATATAGTCAAACAGTAGCTTATATATATTTATACATACACACACACAAAATATATCTGTAAAAAACTAAACTTTAAAATTGCAATTAAGGTCTGTGTATTCAAGTTAAAGTTACCTATTTTAAAAATAATATGTGCTTTTGAAAGTACCTTGTTACTGCAGGGTTACACATGTTTTCTTTATTTTCTTCTGATATCTGTGAAGATTTCTGAAGAACTCCATTGTGATTACTCTGGGTACACCCACTTTGTTCTTTCTCCTTTTCAAAAGGCTGAGCTGACAGAGGGTTATAATCTTTTCCTGTGTCTGTTTTTTCACCAGCATAAGCATACAAAAATCAGTATACTATATAAATAACTGGTAGTGGTTTTCCAAACATAAAAGTAAATGTTTAAATGTAACAAGTACATGGTAATAATTAAGCTCAGCACCTATAAAAGCTATAATTTGAAAGATCAATGAGGTTCTTATCATTACACTGAAATTCTGTAGTTTCAACAAGAAAACACAAACACTACTAATTCTAAATACAAATGGTGATGACCTTAAGAGACTGATTTGCATATAAATCACTTAATACTTACAACTGTTTACAAAAATGAGAAGAAAACATGAATTTAGGGTCAACTATACCAGAAACTGGCCCACTCCTGCAATAACAGGTGCATCCAGTCACAATCAGTCAGCCAGCCAATGTACAGATCCCTCACACTTGCTGAAATATTGTCCATAACTCATGAGAGGCATCCAGACCCCAACCAGACAGATGAACTTCCATGTCTTGTTGTTGAAAGTATAGGACTGTGGACCCAAAGCTAGATCAATGGCATAGTGGCATGAGGACTGCAGTGTGGTAGTATTAGATCCAAAACCTGAAAGTTACAGAATGTTGAATGTCGACTTCTGCTGGAATTATGAAGAGAAGGCAAGCAACACAAAAGTAGACAAACCCTCACCCCAACCTGAAGAAGTGCAAAATGCAACAAATCAAACTCGGAATAACAGGATGTTTCTTGTCTCACTCAACCTGAAAAAACAGAGATTATATGGCCTGAAATTATGAACAGAAATCTTAACTCCCCAACCTGAGAGGCAAGGCAACACCTCCTGTCCCTGAAAGTACGAAGACGATGTGGAACAAACTGTGTCTAACCAATGTCACAGGAATTGACACTCCACATACGGAATTACGAGGAGTCGAAGACTCTTTTCAATGATCTCAAAATGAAGATAAAGAACAAAAAAAGGGCCATGCTTAACTCAACCAGACAGCAAAGTGTCCTCTCTGAACCAGAATTACTAGGAGACTTCCACATAGGCCGGTTCTGCTCCCACAAGACATCTGGGAAAACCATTCAGGGTTATGAGTAAGAGAGTTCCCAGCTTCATCCTCTGAACTCCGTGAGTGGAATCATGAGTTCAAGCATCATTCAGGAGGAACAGACCTCTGTCCACTATTCCAGCAACTGGAAACTGGGAGTGGTAAGGACTCCCACACTACACTAGGAAAAATGGGGGGATAACTCGTGTTGAGGAATGTCATGGAATGATGCTCTGGAGACAGGGCAATAGGTGAACCACAATCCCTATACTTTAAAAGCAAACTGACCCTGATTTATTCAATCTAGGGGTCAGTAGGGATGAGCAAAATCCCCTTATGCTTTACTCATTATAGTCCATGAGTGGTGGTCCAGTAGTCTGTATAATTGTTTACTACTCGGAAAGCCACAAGATGGTCTTATGGAACACCCCATTTTAACAGAGCATGTTGCTACCAGGAAAAGTTATCTGTCTACAGGTAGCTAGAGCAGATTTAGAAAGAAACATATCTGACAAGGCAACACCTGTCACTGAGTGGGATCTGAAAGAAAATGACAAGAGGATCCCTGTAAAAGACTAGAACTAAGCACAAAAAAATGAAGTCACTCACCTCTCCCACACTCAAGCCTGGGTATAGAGAATAGCCACATGGGTGGGGGTATGGAGAAGCTGAAAACCATCCGAGGAGGCAATCATCCAATCATTGAAATAATCAGATATAAATGTAGTTGGCATGGTCCACATACCAGCCTGTACAATCTCATCCAGTGAAGAACACAACCAAGGAACCAGGGACATTGAGATATGGCAAACTTGATGAGATGAGACCCAAAAAAGTCTGCAATCCTCCAATGAAAACCCAGAGTAAGCAATATGAACTAATTGACGAGCCTAATCCTCCAAAGCAACGGTGGATACATCATGTGGCATTGTAGGATCCCAATGAAGACATAAATGGTGATGTGAGCCCCGAAACTCTTTAGTGCTCGCAACATAACATTGGAGAACCCAAACTGGGTATAAAACATGATCTGGATCTGAGCAGCCATATAAATGAGAAATAGAGGGAAGATGAAAAGGAAAGAAGACCTTATCCCTTTCTCGAGCTGCTGAACTATTGAGTAGAAAGGACCGGTCTGAATACAACAAAAACATAACTGAAATGGTAAAGAGTCCTGTGAACATGAATAGCAAACACATTTGAATATCTACATCCGCTAGCCAACAACAAAAGAAAATAAGTCTTAAGAAAAAGATGAATATAAAGAACATGATGCCAAAGGTTCGAAGGGTGAACAAGATAAGGCATGTAGAACTCTAGTGAGACCCCAATTAGGAACCTGGAAAGGATATCAAGGACAGATAACCCAAAAAGATTTCAGAAGAAAGTACTGAACTTTATGCCTCCAACAAAAAATGAAAAGTAGCAGACAAAGCTGCATTATACAGAGAAACAGACAAAGGTGCTAAACTGTTGTTGAAGAACCATGTCAAAAATTTAGAAACATGTGGCACAGTGGAACAAGAAGGATTAACACCATGTCTGAGAGACAATTGATGATAAGTAAACCATTGCCATTGATAAACAAAGAAAGTTAAAAGGACATCGTTAAGAAAGTTACCAACTGAGAGGTCAATCCCTGACATCATGCAATGGATCTCATAAAAGGCAGGCATGAAGTTGGAAAATGGAATCAGTGGATGAAATATGTCTGACCTATGCTGACATATTACAGATGGCCAGAGAGTAAGTGGAAGAGGTTGGCATTCATGGAGATACTGAAGGAGTGGTAACCAAGGTTGAGCCAGCCAATGTGGCACCACCAGGACAAAGAGCAAGTTATCGCAAGAACCCTAGGATAACAGATGAATGGGAGAGAATGCATAAAAATAAAGACTCATCCAATACTGGTCGAAAGCAACTATGTCCAAAGCCAGAGGGTTGGGTACTGGAAATCAGAAGGACCAAACCCAGGCATTCCAGAGTGTGGAGAAATCAACTATCTGAAGTGTCCCAAGACAAGAGAAGATCCAACGAAAAACTTGTGGATGAAGCATCCAATCTGTGTGAAGAACTCTGATGGAAAAAAGAACTGATTTTCCACTAAAGTCATTACTCCTAGAACATGACAAGCAAGGAGAATAGATGGAATATGGGGCCAAAAGAGAAGATCCAATGTTTAAAAACAAAGAGACCTGAAGCAAGTGCCCACTAGCTTGGAAATGGATAAGACCACTGTGGAATTGTCTGAATGAAGCATTAGCATCTTCTCTCACAACAATGTGAGACCCCAAGACATAGTTTGTTTAACTGCTATAAGCTCAAAGAGGTTGAAGTAGAGAGAAGATACCACATCTGTCCATAGGCCCTCGATTCCAGATCTTCCATACAAGCACCCCAGCCCTGGAGACAGGCATTATTTGTGAAAAGGTGTATCTCCAGACAGGGGGTGTGAGAGGAACACCCAGTCTAACCACCAACTAAGAATGATGGAAGCCGATAGGGTCACTGGACAATCCAGCGCATCTGTGAAAATGTTCCATTGGTCTTATAATGCCCACTGAAGGGAATGCATTTGGGCCCAAACTAAAGGAATAAATGATTCCAAGGATGCCCACATCTCCAAAAGAGATAGCACTGCACAAGTTGATGGACAAGGAGACAACTGTATTAGAAGAACAGTCTGTTCCATGGCCTGAAGTTGTTAACCTACTTAAGTGGAGCTCAACATGGGCAAAACTTGCAGATCATGAGAATAGTTTTAGCATTTTCAATTAAGTTCGTTACTGACACTGATGTAGCATGAAATATTTTGTAATGTTTCATAACAAAATTTTTTTTTATTGTTCAGCCTGCTGATCATGCATGTATTTTCTTTCAGTTAATCAACTGAATAAATTTCAGTTCATCTTCAAGTAAAGTACATATTGCATTATCTTTTAATAAATGCAATTTTTCTACTTTTCACTTAAATACAGTTTATCTATTTATTTTATTCAAAATATTTTGTTAATTCTTCCAACAACACAACAGTCCTGTTCCTCGTCTTCTGTTTGTCTTGTAAAAATAAAGCGTCTATTTTGATTTCAATTTCACACCATTTCTATATCTTTCATTGCCCCACAAAAACATCACCACACATGTTCTTCCAAGTACTAGATCTGCAAACCACACATAGTTGTAGAGATCAAGGGACTAATTACTTTGCATATCTAAACCTTGGAATACCACAGATTTTTCTTTCACTCCCTTTACACCACCACCACGATCATGTATTAGTATTCATTTGATACACTTTAGTTATTGCTGCTTTCAAGGAACAGTAAGAACAATTTCATTTTTGAAACCTCAAACAAGTAAATCTTAGCATCTTTTCTTTATCAACAATCAGAAACTAAGATTTATTTGATATAGTTACCTACATCTGTCTTAGGTTTGTTTCCCAAGCCTTTCTTCTGTTATGTACTACAACAATCTTTACATTATCCTCCTACTCCTCAAAAGTGTTCACAACTTTAATGTCTAGATTTTATGTTCTATTTCTTAATTGTATACCTAACCTGCTTCTTCCACTCTCATCTTCAGCAGCTAACCTTTCTTTTTGTGGTAAGCAAGCATATCATCTGTTCCTATCCCATTAGTTGATATATAACTTTTTTATACATAATGAACATGTATTCCTAATACAGAAAGCTAGTTAAGGGAGTCGTTACATTCCTTTTGCCTTAGTTACTCATGAAACTAAGTAAGTCAACTAGGGTATCACACATGGTTAGACATTTGACTAGTATAAAACAAAATTGGTAAACTGACCAGTCAAACAATGGTATAATATTGTCAAATAATATGAAATATGGTTCATATATATATATGTGTGTATTTAACTGCATATATTGAATTTAGCTGTATTAAATGTAGATAATGTAAATAATCTACATGAAAATAATAAAAAAAATAACCAGTTTGTGGTCTGTTTCCAGCCTCTTGATAATTAGTCAGTGCTGCATACAGTGGCACTATTTTGATATTGCATATCATTAATAAATACTACTAGTCATTATACTAAATAATTATCTTTTTTAAAAAATAACATCCAAATTATTATGAAGTTTTATTGCAAATTTATGAAAATCAGAAGTGTTGGCTGCATAAAATTGAAGTATACTAATAATATAGCATAAACCAAACCAAAATTCTTAGCAGGAATTTAGTTTTAAAAACTTTCAGGCTCCAAGGTGAACTTTGGGATCTGAAAGATCAGCCTGGATGTTCAGAAACAAAAACAATATGACATAGTATAACATCCCTCACCTATAAAGGTTTCAGCAGGTGAAGAGCAAGGACCCATTAAACTCATGCATGATACTGTATTAATATATATTTATAAAGTATATAAAAAGGTAAGAAATATTAGATTATGACAACATATTTCTTCTGTTTGGATTGAACACTCAGTCATTTTGAAATCCGTTAGTAGGGGTGTAATTCCAAGACTTGCCCATAAGCAGAGGGGAGACTTTGAAGTCTAAACATTAACAAAAAACCTCTGCTAATGCAAAGGTATTTATTATTTGACCATTTTTTGGCTGGTCAAAAAATAAGCAGTCAAATGACCAGATGTATGACATTATTTTACTGGTCAATTGACCTACTTGCCAACCCTGGTATCACTTGTACTTTCTTATGGGAAAGGTTGCTGTAACATCAAATATACTGTATAGAAATTGACAATGATCTTTTCCATTTGCAAGTTAAATGACAACCCATGGATACAACATCCCTTATTTTGAAGTAAAAGTGACTATCAGTCACATGCATAGAACCTGGATCCTGAGAAGAATGGTACTGTTGTTTTTAGTATATAATGCCATGTTTTCTCACTCTGAAACAGCTTTCACAACATAACTGAGAATTAATCTAAATCCTTTTCTTAAATATACAATAAGACTTTTATTTCTCTCCAGTAAAGGTGCCACACTTATGCTTCTCTTTTCAATTTTTTTTGTGCTTGAGTATTTGAAATAAGGATTATTTCATTGATTTAACTTGTGTCCATTTTCTTTCTTTGCTTCAAGCTCAGAGAAAGTCTGATTTCTGCTCTGCAAAACATTTAATAGAAAGCCTCAATTATTCTACAGTTGCTAAACAATTACTCAACAGGAAATCAGTGAACCTGAAAAAACACAATTTCACCCTCATTACACCATCACCAATTATCTTTTAGTATTCAATTGATACAAAAGATATGTTATAATGTTAATGTTCTAAAGTTATAGCAAAGAAGTATTTAATTTGGCTTGAATTGTTTATAAATATGCTATTGCTGTATTGATACTTTGAAAATGATTAAGAACTGACAAAACCTACCTGTTTCAGTCGTATATAATTCTGTTTGCTTAGTTTCTTCTGTTACTCTTGCATGATCAAGTTCCCTAGTTTTATCAGGTTCTTGTACATGTTCTTCCACAAAAGCTTTCTTAGTATTTATATCATCCATAGACATATGAAAATGTTAGAAAGATTCTGTTTGAGCTGGTATCTTAGGCCTGATTAAGAATTTGTACATAGAAGTGAATGAGAAAATTATATATATATTTGTAAAAAATCAAAATTTCTATCATAAGACCACATTTATATTACAAATCAAAGATAAAGCCATAAACAAATGTTAAAGGTTTAGGAATAAATAGTCAAAAAAGTGTAAGGGCCTGGTGGTGAGGGTGCTTGATTCACAATCTGAGGATCACAATTTCAAATCCCCATCACCAAACATGCTCATCCCATATGGTTGTCTTCTGGGACAGCCACCCAGATGTAAAAATTTTTAGCTTAAAAAAAATATACCAGCTGACCCCATACTAGTTGGGATTAAGGTTGTCACAGTGAAGAATAAGTTAAGAAACAGTAAAAAATAAGTTATAAGCCATTGCAATCTCACATGCATTATAGTATGTTACACAGAAAATATGTAAAGTCTGGTTACAAATATGAAACCTTGGAAAGAAAAAACTTGTAAAAATTACACAAGAAATAACATATGGTTTGAAAATAATGGCACCATTTCTTCCCAAAAGAAATCAAAATATTGTAAAATTAAATTAAAAGAAGAACTTGTATCATGAAAATGAAGGGTTTATTTACAGATAGAACAAGTGGATACAATTCAACGATGGAATAAAACCATTACAATTTTCAATCCCATTTAGAATCTTTCCTTCTCGAACTTTCATTTAAAGTAAAAAAAAACAAAAAACTGTGACCTTCAACCGATGTCATCAAGTATAATCTTAAACCAAACTGCAAATGGATTTTTGGCTTTAGGCTTCACATCCCTGATCCAGTAATACGAAAGAGCTAAGTTATCTGCTAGATGGAACTTGTAACTTAATAAATATTCATTAAGTGACACTAGACTCCTTTTTCCAGCTTAAGTCATTTCGTAAGCTCAAAAGAGAGAGAGAGAGAGAAAAGGCTTTGTTAATTTTGACAAAGGCTAGCAGTAGTAATCAAAATTAAATTTCACTCGGACTAATCATGTAACTCACTCCTCAGTCATATACTGTTTAATGTAAAAAGATACGTTATAAATAAATTATATGTTACTGGTCTTTACGTTTGTCCATACTTTGTGCGTGTCTGTAAAATGTAAGTAAAACTACAATTTAAATAGTTATGCATTTCGAGCAAAATATATATGCTGACCTAATGTTGATAAATATAATAATAACACTGAAGCGAAAATTTTCTATATATAACAACTTACTGGGTTAGCTCTCCAAAATATTATTATTTAATTTTTAACCTACGTTGAACCAAAGTAAATTTAATGTTAGGCCTATATTTGTTTATATTTTCAGCTTCTCATGTTGCCATGACACAAATATAATAGCGCCATCTATACTTACAAGTGTTTACTCATCGTCATAATCATGTGCCGTGATCCTCAGGGAGGTTGGCTGTCACAATCTTCCACTTCTGTCTGTTCTGTGCTTTTCTCACCGGGTTTTCATATTTTGCTATATCTGTCCACTCTCTAATATTTGTTATCCACTCTATTATTGGTCTTCCCCTGTATCATTTCCCTTCTACTTGACTCTCTATGCTACTTTATTATTATTAAAAAACGCAAAAACAGTGTTTTTATAATTACTATTAAACAAGAGAATTTAATGTGGGGGAAACGGGAGTACCCCGAGAAAACCCACTTTCACTGGTAACGACTGATTCGTTACCAGTGCCCGATTAATGAGAAGAAGTAAGTAGGGAGGGCAAAGTGAAGGCCGATGCTGGGGGGTTGATTAATTTATGAAATTGTTGTGGAGTCTCCTGGAGTTTATGATGGATTTGAATTGTATCTATATCGTCACTTCTCGCCGGTCTTATATATACAAAATAGAGAGCGTATCTAGAAAACGCTAGGACGTTCGACAGGTTCCTCGATCTTTCTAAAACTCCAACGCATGCTCCCAGTGTCGCGCGACTTCCGCTGTCGTAACAATATTATAAATAGAACACCCCGGTTTTATTTAACTTGACATTAAACTCACAAAGTTTTTCTTCTTTTCTGTTGCATATCCGTTATAGGAGCATTGCTAGAAAAGAGAGTTCCTGAATAACACATTCCCAGACAGATGGATTGATAGAAATGGACCAACACGTTCCACTGATATAACCTCGTTGGATTTTTTCATGTGTGTGTGTGTGGGGGGGGGGGTGTTAAAGATCAGGTACTTTCGACACCTGTGTGTTATATCGTGGATCTTCGCCACAGAATAATCGATGCAATAAAGAATGTGACTTCCGAGATATTGAACAACACCTGGAGGGAAGAGTATCGCCTAGACATTCATCGAGAAACAAAAGGTGCACATGTGGAAGTATACTAAGACAAGAAATCCCTTTACGAGTTGCTTGTCAAGTTAAATATAACTGAAGTATTCTATCTATAATATTTGTGAAGTTTTAAAATGGGTCAGATAATTTAAGTACACTTTATATAAAATTTTTATAAACAAGATATCCTCCGAATATTTAAAGTATATTAAGGATTGTATATGCAAACAACTTACTATTATTTTTTGTACGCCCTCGAATTAGTTGAATATTGGGCATGTACTGGAAATTGTCTGATGTTACTCCTCTTTTCAAAGGAGGTGATAAAAATTATACAGGTAATTATAGGGCTATTACTAGTATTAGTCTTATATAGGTGGTTGGAAGTTTTATTTGGGGGGGGGGGAGATCTGATTAAAGATGCTTTGTAAAGGTATTTAACAATGTTTAAAATTTTGTTAGATAGTCAACATGCTTTGAGTAGGGGAAAATCTCACCTTACAAATCTCTTGACTTTTATGAAGAGATTACTTCTTATGTAGATGAGGGTTAGGGTTGGATTTAGCATATTTAGGTATTCACAAAGCATTTGTCAAAGTGCTATACAGAAGAATTGTTTAAGAAATTACCCTTTAGGTGTGGGGTATAAGTTGGCTCGAAAGATGGCTAAATGGTAGAAAAGAGGATTATTATATATGCAAGGATTAATGTTACACGTGTAGTTCCTCAGGCTCAGTATTAGGACCTTTGCTCTATTTTGATTTACATCAATGACATAGATGAAGTAAAGGTCAATGAATGGCTTAAATTTGCTGATGATATCAAGGTACTGGGTGTTGCTGGCTGTGATGAGAATGGTGCTGCTTTACAAAAGGATTTAGAATTATCTGGGGAGTTGAGCAAATGAATGACAGATGGCCTTTAATTATAATAAATGCAAAGTAAAGCATGTGGGTTGTCATAATTATTAATTTATAAGAAAAATGTTGATGGGAATAACCATAACAGTGTCGTTCAAGAACGATATTTTGGTTGATTAGTCTCTTGTCATCTAAACAGCAAGCTGTTGCTAGTGGTGAACAGGATTTTAGGTTGTATTTACAGCAATATTGAATAAAGGCATTGTGTTCAGTCTTGGGCTCCTTACTTTAAGGAGGACATTGAACTGTTGAAAAGGGGTTTAGAGGAGAACTAGGATGCTATTTGACCTGGAAAGGTTGTTATACAAGACCAGGTTAAGATTTTTTCTTTTGAAAAGAAAAGTTAGAAGGGATCTGATTGAAGTGTTTAAGATTGTTAAGAAATTGATAATGTTGATGCATTATCTATTTTTTTGTACTCCATGTTGAGAATGGTAGAACAAGGAGCACAACAGATTGGCAATGTAGGAATCATCTTTAGCTTAGTTTTATTTTAATAAGAAGGCATGCCATACAATAGTGAAAGAAATTGTGAATATAAATTAAAAAACATCTTTTTGCTATACAGTATATGCATAATAATGGTGAAAGGAATCATGATAATAAAATGAATTAAAAACATTATTGTCTTACACAAGTATTAGTGTACCTCAGTGCAAGCCCTAACCCAATAATAATAAAGAGGATATTCTGTCACCTGTTATAACATTTGCTTAAACACTAATTCCAAATGCATGACACTATCAAAGAGAAACCACTCACCTCGGACAAAACTAATTACAGAAGACAAAAAACATTTAGAAAATTATTAAATTACTTTTAAGATGTGTACATTCATCATTACTTTAACAAAAGCTTTCTTGGTATTCATGGTTTCTTTATTTCCTCCTGCATACCTGGTGATCGAAACCTACCTCTTCACTTTCCATGTAACTTGAAAACTCCTCCACCATTGTAAATTCTGACTGTTTTCCATTACAGCCACTAACCTTATACTGCTAAACATGAGTGAACCAACAAAAAACACTCAGCACCAAGGTAAAGAGATTCCTGTATATACCTTGCTTTTGTTAACCCCACCTTGAGTGTCATCTCTACCTGGCATAGAGGACATAATGTCTGCAATGATCACTTCATGTGTGAGGTGCACATGAAGACTGGAACACAAAGTGGTATAAAACAATCTAGATACCCACACAAGGATAATTAAGCTTTCTGGCACTGCCCATATTCTAAACCACCAAGCAGAGTCAAATCAACAACTTCTGCAAAAGGAACACCCCATAATGGTAGGATAGCGATACTGATAAAGCCCTGGCTGAGTTCATGCAGATAAGAAATAATCAAGCCTGAGAAGTGACAAGGATTGCACCATATATAGACTATTCTCTGCAGGCAATCACCTTCCAAAGCATGTGGCATAAAATGGAATGAACTATTCATACACACTTCATTTTGGCACATCCACAAGCTTATGGTTGGCACAGGAACCAAAACATAGTGATGCCAGGCATTTACAATGATAATGGTACCTCACTCTATTAAGATGAAGACCAAGGCAAGGCCTTTGTGCTAAGATATATTAACCAATGTGATTAAGAGAGGCCTATGCTACAGCAGTCCCTATTTCAGCTACAAATGGATGTGGATATGTAAGCCATCTTTAGCTTGTATGAGATATACAGAGTCATAAATAGATCTAAGGATGGAGCTCCAGGTCCAAATAGTGTAAGAATCTCCACTGGTAAGAAACTGACAGAAACCAAGCTATTGAAATTAGTATTAAAGTATAAACTTAGATGGAAAACATGTAGTATCCTTGAAATATGGGCTCATGCCTTACCCAACTTCATGAAGCATCACTCGTTTTAAAGGCCATCAAATCATCGTCTTAAAAAACATCATTTTCAAGATCCCAGAGAAGGCTGTAGCTAGGTTTGTCTATCAGATTCAACCACTACTATTGTCATCATTAGGTGATTATCACAGTGGAAAAAGAACTTGGATCACTGCTGCTGAATTTGAAACTGAAACATGTGAAGGCTTTGAAGCTGATCACAATACCTTAGCAGTAGCTTTAGATATGAAAAATGCTTATAATAAAGTCCAGCTGCCCATTCATGCTTAAAAAATGCTCATAATAGACATCAGTGTAAAATGGATTTTGCTGCACTAACTACAAGAAGATGCATCATGAAGCATGGAACCTGGCAATCAGACTGGATCATCAGCAATACTGGTCTGTCTGAAGGGTCATCACTCTCATTAGTCATCTTCAACAACTACACTGTGAATCTAGTCTGCCTTGGCAGTCAAACCAAATGCCTTAGTAGATGACATTCTGGTGTAGAGCAGATATTCTAGCAAAATTGAAATCAAAAGCACAATGCAACCATTTCTTAGCAAAGTGAATAAATGGTGTGATAATTTAGGAATGGTTATTAATCCTGTCAAAGCCACTGCAACAGGCATTTGATGTGGCCAAACTATCACCAGCTCTTCTGTGATAGCAATCACTCTGGAAGAAACACTGAAGTACCTAGGAATATTCTTTGATAAACAACTCAACGTCACTAGTCTCATTAAAATCAATGCACTGAAAGTTCCAGCAGTAAACAGAGCTGAAGAACAATATCTGCTCATGCTGTACCAGTATTATCTGCTCTGTCCTGGATTACACACGATCAATATTAGTATGAGTGCTGTATAGCTAAAGGGATATAAAACACCTGTTTAATATTGGGCACAGGATGCACTTCAGTCACCCCATCAAAGCAATGTTACATCTCACAAGCCTCAACAGTATTCCAAACAGCGCCTACAAGGAATATCTTCACTAGGACTTTACAGTGTAAAAACCATGCATTCCATCATCAAGCTGCTTACTCATTTCAATTGGGACATTCCAGCCCCACAGACAACAACCAAGCAAAGGACTGCCTGAAATGTGCTGCTGGAGACAGTCAAGGGTTTTAGAGATTTCTCTTTTCTACAACAAACTAGGAAAAATTGAGCAATCTTGATTTTGAGATTGGTTTTGTCTCCATAAATAATCGTAAGAAAAATTTCTGAAATCATGAGAAAGAAGAAACTACTACTACTTGTAAAACTAAATTAAAAAAACAACAAAAATAAAAAGAAGCCTACAAAGGCAAAAAAACTTTGAGGCAAATTTGTCTAATAATTTCTCATAAATACATGTGTAACTAAATAATTAACTAAAGAATGTAATTCTTGGTATCAACTTTAGTTACTTAAAAAATGAAACTGAAGCAGCGACAAGACATAGCTCAGATTTTCAACACAGGAAAAAAGTTAATAAAGATTAATTTCATTTGTTCTTTACCTTTTGTTGTAACTTAATAGCTTTTGTTTTGAAGGAAGAGTTTCAAAACTTTTGTTTTTGAGGAGAAGTTTCAAAACAGATATTTATATCTGAATACACATATTACATATTAATGATGATAAAATAGTCAAACATAATATTTTACAATTTTGTGATTCTTCTGTTCTCTTTTCTACAGAATTTAATGATGTTCAGTTGCAAAAAAGGAAATGCTGTTGTATATTTCATTTAGTTGTTAATTTCTTTAATCCACATAATGTTTAACATTTGTGGTTATGTTGAAGTTTATGTTATAATCAAGAAAAAATAAGCCATACACAGTAATAGATATAAATTTTTCACCAGTTACAGGTATTTTTAAGGAGACTGAAAAAGGAACATTTCATAATAGCACACAAAAAAACTATACACACTACAGTTTAATATGTGGCATCACCTTACATTCTTGCCTCAAAGAGGAATATATACAATGGGGACCACTATTATACATTTTTTGATATTTTTGTTAATTACTTTAATTTATAGCATATATATATTAGTTTACAACTTAAGCTGACTAGGTTATTGATGTTGTGGTTGTCCAGGTATCATCATTCCCATTCCTTGCAATCCACTGCCTGAAGAGACTGCTGCACTTGGCCCTAATAAAATCTGAAATAAAATTGTCTCTGCTGTAGATATAATGAGTTGACATGTAGACACAGATTATACATTTCATTAAAGAGTGTGACAACTAGTATAAAACTACATATAGATGCTGTAAATTTATTTTAGTTTAAATTCACAATTTAATTTGAAAGACCTACAAATATCAGCTTTTATTACAGAATTACAATGAGCAAGTAAATTATATAGCAAATCTCTACACAAAAGATTTAGCATACAAATAAAAGCCAACTTAAGGGTTAATAACTCTTCACTAGTGATTTTGAAAGGAAATTTCACAATAACAGTTTTTATCAACTAATAATAATCAATTATTTTTTTTATAAACAAATAAAAACATGAATAAAAGTAATTGTTTATCCTCTTGTTTTTTTAACATAATTAAAATGTAACTACTGTTCTACATTTGTATTAAATCTATTTTAAATCAAATTTTTCAACTTATACTTTATTTCGAACCTCATATATGCTTGTTTTATGTATAGGTTTTAAAACCTATAACTATTGATTAACCTAACAGCAAAGTTTGAAATATTTAACAGCATTAAAACAAATCTTACTCACTTTTTTTTTTCTTAAATACATGTGAACATTTTTTAAATGAATACTAAATTAAATTAATTCCAATAATTACATACTAAACCCTGAGCCAAACAAAACTATTATTATCTGTACTGGTTAAGCCTTCTACTAAAAGTTTTCTGAACCTGTCTCTGTTGCTGTTTCTGCATCTCTTCCAACTGCATTCGTTCACTTTCAAACATGACAGGAGCCATCAAGATTACTGAAGAAGAGAACACTATCCAAAAGACTGACCGGCTAAAGCCATAAGCCCATTTGACACTGATCGCTGATCCAGTGATCAAGGATGATGTTGCATTTCTGAGTGATTCAGGAAACATCTCAGTCAGTGCCCAGAGTCTTTCTCCTAATGTTTCATCTAGATCCTGTTTAATGTGTTAAAAAAAGGTGTGGATATAATGATTTTTTTGTTTCTACTTAAATCAGAAAAGGTAGAATGTTTCTCAACTTTTTTAAAACAAATATCTGTTGGAAGGGGGAGGATGCACGAATAATTGAAAAAACAAGGATATCTGGAAATCTCCATATTTGGGGACACCTTTATTGTAATTCATGTTAAAATTTAATAGTACTTTTATACTGCAGTAGACACTATTTAATAAAATAGTGTGTAATATATGCTTGTTTAGCAGACTTATTTGTATTATTTCTTATAACTGTTTTTACAATCCTGGCTACTATATTATTATTACTGTAATCAAATCCCCGTGTAATCTAAGATAGTGTCAAGACACTTCGATGCCATATTGTCATTTCATTTTTTTTTGTCTGCATTAATAATCCACATGTAAATAATTGAAAATATACTGTACTTGACTTTTTATAAAATTCACTCCTAGTGGGGGTCCACACGTTGAAACATAGTTGTTCTACATATTTGCTTGTTATAACACCTACAGTAAAGAACTGACCCAATGACTGGATGAAATCACTCATTTTCTATGTGGAATATATAGGGAACACCTACTAGTAATAAGTGGGATTAACTGTAATACTGATGGTATTCTGTTCCTTTGTTTTTTGCATGACTCATATATGTTACTCGGAATTCTGTAAGCAACAAAACTCTAGACATAAATACACAACTAAAAACTATGGCTTAAGTCAAAGCACAAAACTATAAAAGATGAAACAGGGATGGAGAAATTCATGAAGAATACATAGGAGAGCTAACCTTATTCAAAAATGTTTGTAATAACAGCTACAAAATGACAATACTTTTTGCTTATTATGAAGTCAATGAAATTTTCATACATTTTTGCACCTGTCTACCACTGCAGTAAAGTACAATTATTGTAGTCAATGGCAAGAGAGGTTCTTTTTTTGTTTAAGTTGTGGGGGGGGAAGACGCTTGATTTTTCAGGTTAAAAAACTGTGGCTAGGTAACTCCGAAATGTCAAGTAAGGTTAGAAAAAGGCGAATGATAATTTCTGGTAGACTCGGCTTATATATCACAGTGATGAGATTTAATACTGAACTATTTCTTTTACAACTAAGCAGCACAATGAGGGAAATAGCCATACAACTTAATATTATTAAGAATGAATAGAATTATAGCTGCAATAATTTTAGTTTTCACATTTAAATTGTATGCAAAACAAGATGATCATAAAAATACTGTAATAACAGATCATACTTCCTCATCTTTCTTAAGAAAACCACAAGATTCTCCATATGGCACTACTGATGATGTTTTTATTGATGATTTCTTCTCTGCTTTCGTGATTTGGGGAGATTCCTCTCTACTTTCAGGTGCACTCATCATTTCAAAACCACTTTCACTTTCTTCTGATCCCATGACAAAATTTTTTTTTACTTACAAGCCCAGAGCTATATAATCCATTCAAATTCTGTTGACAAAAAAACAACAATAAACCATATAACAAAGATAAACAATTTAAACAATCTTTTAAGAGTTTAGATAATTTTTCTGCATATGTTATAGGATTTAATTATACTTAAACTTCTTATAAACTATTAATCCAAAACATAATTTAACTATCAACACTAAATCATGCAAAAAATAAGCTCAATATGTTTCTGGATTTCATACTAATATCTCTTCTTTAATTGACTGGTACTTAACTGATCAGAAGTTTAAAACTCACGGGTTATAAATATTCTGTGTTTGAGCTTGTTCATTAATGGTTTTTAAAACTAATTTTCTCAGAAGTTAAATTATCAACAATATGCATTTGCTTTCATGTATAAAGATTTAAGTATTAAACAGAACTTCAAAATTTAAAATTGTAGTAAACCAATTTGCAATGACATTTTTTTTTTCCTAATCAAGTAAACAAGAGTATGAGTTTTAAGCTGAAATAACTAGTTACTACATACCTTATTGAAGCTTATTATATTTAATTATGACAGGAAATACAGGATATAGGTTAAGTGACAATCTATTGAAACATTTAGTATGACAAAGTTTTGACTTTTCTCCTGCATCAGTGTGATTACAGTTTTCAAACACCAAAACACTTGACTATTGTGATCTGGTATGGAACTCAATGAAAATAGTATGAATATTAAATGAAAATAATTTTTGTGCAAAATATATTGTTCTGCTCAAATATTAAGTGACCAGAAACATACATAACAATATTTTGTATCAGATAACTAAAATCAGAGGAAAGCCAATGTAAAGGCACAATAAATATTAACACTAAAGCTGCCACACTAATCTAACAATTATATCATGGGAGATCTTGCATATTATTTTTGGGCATACATCTAAATCACATGGCTATACAAGTCTTGAAATTTACCGTTCAACAAATTTGCTGATTCTGTACTAGAATGTTCAGCACACCTTCTTATGGTGTTGGAACATTATGTTTACACTAATAAAATCTTATTTATTATATGCAAGATATTTGAGTAAAATAGCCAGTATTACAAGGAACAAAGAAATAATTAAAAGTGAAATAAACATTAATGTATTTAGTACTATTATACATATAAACTACCATAATCATGAGAGGAGGTATATCACATGTTCTTACACAGTCACTACAACTGTCAAATGGTAAACTTGATGTAATTCAATAGTTCAAGAAACTTAATGCATGTACTACAGGTCCAAATGTTAATGGCAAGTTCTAATTGTTCAACTACAGACACATGAACTTGATTACAGGTTTAACTACTACTTAAATATCACACTCAGTTATAAGATATTTCAAGTTTCACATAGTATTCTATTCCAACATTTCATGCGTAAATAATAAAATTATTATACAGGTAATTTGCCAACCTCTTAAAAGGATGTGCCATTTATTTCCATACAGTCAAAATGTATTTTTCAGGTGCTTCATAAAATTTTGGGGTACATGCATTTACAGCATGGTTCATAGCCATATACCATGCTTCAGGTAATGTTGGCTTATTTTTAATGTGCATTTCTAAATTTTAGTGCTTTATTTCATTGCACTAAAGATGTTTTCATTTGACAATAAGTTCCAGCTTCAGTGAGCTTTGTACCTGAACTGCTACTCCAATATCAACATATCATGTATAGTAGGTGTACAATAATAAACCAAAAATCTTCCATAGCCTTCGAAGCTGACAATACCATAAAATTATATCCATGAACATGACCATCATTACTGTTTTTATTATATTTAGTTTTTATCACCTGTTAGTTTTTATACCCATTTTTATATTACAGAAGACAAAATACAAACATGTAATTTATCCTCCCTTTGAAAAAGTTTTTACTTTAAATTAAAATAGTATTCAACTGTGCACTAAAAATAACAGTCTGTTTTCTTCAATCTCAGGCAGAAGCATTTCAGCCATCACCTACGTTTTACTCATTTATATTCATTAAGGGACATCCAACAAATATTGATGGATAACACTTGTTCACACTAGTGCCTTTCCTCTCCTTTATTTGTTTGTAGTTAAACAAAAAACTACACAATGGGTTATCTGTCCTGTTCTCACCATGAGTATCAAAACCCAATTTCCAGGTTATAAGTCTGGATACTTACTGATGTGCCACTGGGGGTTTCCCTTCCTTAATCTTTAGCTGAACAATGTATGAAGTCATACTTTTCCAAGCTATTCTTTCTAATTTTGTGATTAGTCAGAACTGGTATTCTTATTTTCATAAAGTCCACACTGCATTGTATACTGTAAACTACCAAGAACATGATCAACTACAATTACGGAGTCCCAGAGATTTATAGTTCACAGCCATAGAAGTGTATGAATGTGAGATCACAGTTCCAAATATTTAAATCTCCCATAAACAAAACATTAAATTATTATACTCAAAACAACAAATGAAAAATGTCTACAGCAGTATTACATGCTGAGTTTGCATGATTTATTTCAAGGTAACTGTATTCCCACTAGGTGTAACTCAGCTATAATAAAATTGCTATTATTGCTAAGCTTTACTCCACCATTTAGCAGAGATGAATGGGCAAATTTCAGAACAAAAAACAGGTGTTGACAAGTTGTTACTTGACCAATAAGGGTCAGTAATATATCAAACTATAGCTCTCTTCATACTCTACATTGGTCTGGGTGGTGTTTAGGTATCCACAAGCATTTTTTTATTTAAAACAAACAAATAAACTTTAAAATAATTAATAAGTGCTTTTTAGTCATTGAATTTGAAGAAAACCAAGCCATACAATAAACTGTGTGGTCCATATTACATAATTCACAAACCGATATATATATGTACATCTGCCCAGATCCAACTGATAGCATGTCAAAAAAATGATGAATTGGAGCTGTAGGCAGATGATACATTACCTGGACAAACAGTTTGCTTTACATCATAACAGGTACATATACGTCAATCATGAATACAAAATCTTCCTTTACTTTAATTGATAAATATGTAAGCTCATACTTGATTTGTAGCATTTGGTTGTTGCCAGTTTTCATTTCCTTTATCACTATAAATTCATGCATATGGGTTTTAAACTGAAGTATTTTATCAGGACTACAATTTATCTTGCTTTGTCACAAGTTTTATTCATTGTCTCAGGTTACCAGGTAAAGCAATCATTTTATATAAATCAAAGATATTTTATTAGCACTGTTCCAACGACAGGTGCTCGTGGCACGAAAGGTCAATTTACAGGTATTATTACTAATTTTTTTCATTAATTATTCATACATAATTCATATTGCAGTGTAAATCTACTAATTTTTGACTGCTGAATTCAATGGTGTGTAAAATGTTTTGTTATTTTCACTATTTAAATATCAACAAAACCACCTACTACAATGTTAATAATAAAAAAAAACGCTTGTTGCTAGGTGACAATGAAAAAAAAATCCACATGCAAAGCTGAATGAACATTATCTCTTACAAACAAAAGATCAAGATGACCAAACCTCTAAAAGTAAAAACTATTGAGGAAAACTGTAAAAGGTTTAAAACTTTTTATTTTTCTACTTAATCATTACTTAATGAAACCCCTGTGACCATATTAGTAATAGTAATTCTAATACTATTAGTTCAACAGTTGTAATACTACTATTACTACAGTATTAATATTATTATTAGTAGTATTTATTAGTAATAGTATTACGATAAACGCATGGCTGAATACTCAAAATAGGTTGATGTTAAACCGTGAACCAACATAAAAATTGCAGCTTTTCAGGAAAATAAGCAACTACTGAACTAGTTAAACACATTCAACAAATAACGTACAGCTAAATGTAATAAACTTTATAAAGGTTAAAAACTAAACCTTTCTCATTCACTGTCTCAAAATTTTATTTTATGGTAAAAATAAAATAGTATACAGTAACAAACTTACGAGTTTTACGTACTTCTACTGGCCCTCTCCGTCCATCTGCGCACTCTCTAACATTAAGATACTTATTTATAACATAATGTTACGTCTCCGTTCGATAGTTGATTTTTCGTAACTTCGTTCCGACGAAACTTTAGAGACACAAGTCCTTTCTTAAATAAAATTGGTTTATTCTTTCCGAATACAACTTTACGATACACTTAATTTCAACAGTCGCTCTGTAACAAACGCTATAATTCTCAACGAACTTCTCACGTGCTTAACAATATTCTCTCTGACTGCAGTTAAATTACTCATTACCTCTGTCGTCATGTCACGTTGTGAACGTCTTATATATACAAGACTAACACATCTCTAGTAAATGCTAGGGCATTCTTGAAGGAACAGGATATTTCTAGAAAGAGGTGGCGAGATACTAGTCACGTGACCTCGCTGACGCAACACTGCCCCTCCTTAGTATTGTTCGTCTCGAACAATAGCCACTTACATTAAACCAATAACAATTAACAATAACTTAATTAAATGTACAGAATTACAAACACAAAATTACAATTAAACAAAGTCTCTTAATTTTATGGGACGTATCTTCTTCCGTACTGGTCTCCATCTCGTTGGCTTCTGCTTCATGTGGGGTTCATCTGCTTCATCAGGAAATGTCCTATCATCGGTAACGGTCACATCAGTGGTAGTAACTTCATCACTAGCTTCATCGTTTCCCTTCTCAAACTGAGTAGAGTTTCTTCTTCGACTGTGGCTTT